CACGGGGTTCATGCAGCTGCTTCTTTTCACCAGCAGGTGGAGAACATGTTTCAGTGTTCCTATTTGACATGTTTCTTAGTTCTTTTGGATGATCTACTTGAACTACTGTATAAGGTTTATTAAGTAATCATGATAAAGTCATATCATTTATAACACTGCAGAAAACTCTGAAATGTGCGTCAAAGACCTAATAAAATGTGGATGGACATACTACTAGAGTAATTTTTGATGTGCAGATACTTTAACCCTAGTCTCAAGCAATGAAGTTGTTCGATAAGGAGTCTTCGAGTTGTCAAACATTTGTCGCCCTCTACAGTTTTCGAGTATGACCTGAGAAATGAGAAATCCTTAAAGACGCTATGAACTAATATAGCTGGAAAGAGTGGGATTCTTCTGTATTTATGGTTATTGACTTGCCAGATTGTCAAGTACAAAGTCAATTTGTACGGGCGTATAATGACGATAAACGTCATTCTCTTTTCATTCTAGGTCAGCAAGATCCCTAATAGTTAATCTTCTAAAAGCCTAAGTGTTGTGTTGGTGGTGACGTTTCGTGATCGATTGTCCCCTCTGCATCCTTTTAATGGTACGGTCCGTTGCCTAGGTGCTGGTAGAAGCCAATTTACACTGCCACGCCTGTCCACAGCCGTCCGTATTTACTCTAAAAGGTTTGTAGAACTTTAACTTTGCATTGTGTGCTCAGCTTTACCGCCTCGGAGAAGTTAGGGTTAAGTAGGAGTCTTACGATATCACAGAGTCTATCTTTTGCTGCCAAGCGGCCAGTGGTAAAAGCTATGGCTACCGTTAGCGAGCTAGCGTTAGCTCAATGTGAAGTATGCCTTGGTAAGTTTGGAAAGAACTTTGCTAACTAGCATCGTGGAAAGTCACATCTGTCTGTTTTCGTTGTGTAATATCTTACTAAAACAGCTTGTCTTGGTTAACACATCTGTGATTGTTACATATCTCTGACTGGAGATCTTGCTAAAAGAAATATAAAAATCCCCGTTTGCTCCTCGTCGTCAGACATTTTGGAAAGAAAGGTTAGCCGGGGAAAAAATATGTTTTTTTTTTAACAAAATTAAATGATCCTTGTCTATTATTGGGAAGACACTTGCATTGTTTTTATTGCAGGGAATTTTCATAGATCTCCCTGCTCCATGAAATCTTCCTAAATGTTGGAGAGGAAGCTTAGGGCTAGATGTGTTATCCTTACCATTTAAGGAAACAGCAGATAAAACAGCTCACCAGTTTGGAGTTTTGCATAGCCTCGGGTGATGCAATGTGTGTCAGCTGTTAAAATGCATGTGCCTGTCGCAGGTAGGAGGTAGATAATCTCTAAGCTTATGACTGCCTGTCTTACCTGGCAGCACTGTTCTAAAGAATCGCGTCTTTCACAGAGCGGACATGAGATACTGGATGGATTACTCCAGCAATGTGAGTGCTGAAGTTTGAGGATCTGCTGATCTCTGGCGCATCGTTGGAGCCTGAGTTAGCAGAAATGTTGTGTGGGATCAGTACTTCGACTGATGGAGATAAAATTCATCCCTTACAGACGCTGCTGTGCCAAACTTAATTTGTAACGATGGATAATAAAGAGGTAACACAGCATTGGCTACTTTTGAGATACACTAGACCTATCTGCTATGCTCCTATGTGCTGGCCAATGTAACTTTTCTTCAACTATGAAAACACCATACCTAAACTGGTTTTGGGGGCAAATAAATCTTGCACGCACAATCACCAAATTTCTGATCTTTTAACCATTTAGTCCGCGATAGCATAGACCAGGTGGTGCAATGTTTGACTTCAACAAGTACATGAGACCTGATACCCAACCTGTGACAATATGCAGGATGTTGTTGGAGCCGTGACAGCTCCCAGAGTAGTATGCAGTTTGCATGACCGCTAGCTTCAGTTACCAGCCCTACAACGTACAGTATTGAATTCTGCAACATGTGTTCAATGTCACATCATTGAACCGTGTGCCACTGCAAAAAGATATACCGTTGTTCATTATGCTTAGTCTTGTAGTTAGCTAGCAGGAAAACTGTATAGAAAAATAATCAAAATTTAAAAATTTTTCACTCTTACTTAAATAACACTGGAGTTGAATAAACATTAGCAAACAAAAAATTATAATACCCAAAGCTGCATATGCAACAACAAGATGACTGAAAGGTGTTTTCATGTATAAATTCTTAAAAGCTGCAGGTAAACATTGCATTAAAAAAATATGATAACTGGACCTTCTCCGGACCTTCAGGTGTTGACGGAGCTGGACAAGATTTCTAGGCGGCTCCAGGAGGATGGCTTATCGCCAGGGGCCAGTGGAGAAGAGAAGCAGCGCCACCTTTGGCAGCAGCTTCTCACCAGTGAGGCGAAGCTTCATGCAGCTACCCAAGAGGTGCAGACTCTACGTGTGCAGCAAGCCAATGAGATGAAGGAGGTGAGACTCTCCTTTGTTGTTTTATTTGACCAACTTTCATCATAGAGTGAGCCATTGATGTGTAATGAAACGCCCAAACAAGCAGTCTAAAAAGAACG